TGGCCGTGGTTATGGCGGCGGTTACGGCGGAGGTTATGGTGAATATGACAACTTCGGAGGGGGTGGAAGTGATGGTGAATTTATTGGAAGCTATGGAGGACTCGGAAGTTATGGCGTGAATAGTATTCTATACAGCTCTGGCTATCGAAGCAAATATTACGGCTCCAGATATATTAGTCCTGGTTATGGAAGTTATGGCGGTTTTAATGATTGCCATCATCTCAGAAGTTATGGATATGGGTACGGAAGATAATTTATTTAAGGTTTGGTCGAAAGTTCTAAGATATTATAAATTACTACTCAAGTATTTATAGTTATACAACTCTTAATAGCTTTTTAATTAAAATTATATAATTAATTTTCACAAAAATATATTAATTTAAACATTTTTCATATGATTCATACAAGAATTTAATTTTTAAATAATTTTATTGTAGTTCTATTTTATATGTTATATGGCAATCTATGAACAAAAAATATATAATATAAGATTTATTAATTAATTGTCAATTGCATTGTGAAGAATTGAGTTATAATTTTTTTTATTTAAATCCTTATAATTTATAGCTGATAAGTAGAAATTGATCTAAAATTCAAATATAAGCTTAAAATTTAATATACTTTGTACTACCGGTAACTTACAATACATACTATACTTGTAGACTTCTATATTGAAACTTATTGTAATGAATAGGCGATCAGATAAAAAATTAAATAATTTAAATTAAATAAAATCTATTAATAAATTAAATTAAATTTTATAATTTAAGTTTATTAATATTGAATTGAATTTTTACATTGACATTTTTAATATAATTTTATATAATTCAAAATAAATGAATGAAATGAATGAGAAGTTAAGAATTTGAAACTATTTTCTATAATAAATATTAAAATCATTGAATGGATTAAACATTTCGATCGCTTGTGAGGAATGAGAAGAGACAGAAAGCGGCGGTAATGAGACACACGTTGAGTGCAATGGCGATGAGTGTCCAGACATACCAGGGCCAGGGACACAGTCGCACTACAGTCCACGAGCCCTTCTCATAGTTGGGACATTTGGTGTCGAAGTTGTAGAAGCGGTCGTAGATGTAAGGCTTGAGTGCTTTGAACACATCCTTTCTGCAGCCGGCGCTGTAGAGGCTGTCGTCATAACAGTCCAGATACTTGATATACAGACAGCACTCGGCGCTTATGATATCCGACTCTTTGGTCCGCACTTTGACCGACGAATACAGCTCTCTATGGATCTGTTGACAGGAAGTGAAGTTCACTTCAGACAAACAATTGTTGCGAACGACCGCTCCTGAGGAATAATAAGAATATTCTGTATAATCATTGTTTACGGTTTATCAGACGTCCGACCGATCTCTATGTCTAACCGGTTATGAAAAAGTGTCAAAAATTCTTACTGTATATGACGAACGACCGCTCCTGAGGAATAATAAGAATATTCTGTATAATCATTGTTTACGGTTTATCAGACGTCCGACCGATCTCTATGTCTAACCGGTTATGAAAAAGTGTCAAAAATTCTTACTGTATATGTCTAAAGGGATGTCCATATGAGGGTCTTCGGGGTATAGACACAGAGTGGAAGTGATCACTGCCAGCACTACAAGTGTTGATACGACCAATGAATTCATAATTGCAATGAATGTGAAATAATGGACAAAATTCTTAGATAGCCTTTTGTGCACAGAATGCAATCAATGAATGAATGACTGTTCAAATTGTTAACTAAACTGTCATTTGAGTGTATTTTATAGCACTGTTTCACGCGCTGAAACCTGTCATTGGAGTCAATTGATACAGTTTTCTATAACTTTATTCACTAAACACATGAAAGTAATGATGTTTAAACCGATGTGAATATGATATTCATATTACGGTAAGAAAAGTGAAAATATGAGATAATATTCAAAATTAGTGCCAAAACTAATGAGTTGTTGTGGAAACCAAACACAATATATGACCACATGTTTGGTGTTTGCATTCATTCTCGACATTCAATTTGTCGGCAATTTATGACATTAAGTGATACCACGACTCAAATTAAGTGTCCACTCAATCATCACGTGAACAGTGGTGGCAGTGATTGAGTGATTGTGTGGTAAATATGTTGAGATCAATGGTGACACTCAATGCAAACCTGAACTGCAAATGTGTTTCGATGCCGAAGAATGTGTGGCCAATGAGTGCCAATTGGTGTCAATACTCGACACAACTATCACCACAATTGGTGCCAAACGAGAAGTTCAATGCATTTGTGGCGCAAATGAATGCCGAGAAACGGATGGCAAACAGGTATCTGTTGATTGAAGACAAGTGCAACTCTTTGGCGAAACTCAATGCTCACAATTTGTCACAACTTCTGGACACTCGTGTCAATCACATCCATCGCTGGAGTTTCAACCAAAACAGCTGTGCTTTAGTTGAGTTAAATGAAGACAATTATTATCTTCGACGAGACATCAGAAGGAACTTTGGTTGCGATGACAGCCGACGATCACAACTCACAGTGAAGACCAATGGTCTCAAGTTTATTACACTTAAGACGTGTCCGAGACTATCGCCCAATAAGACAAATAGTGGTAATAATGATGTGATCCGTGAGATGACTACCAGAAGGAGAGACGCCTCTTATCTGAACACTAATTATTTGAGACAAATAATGAAGACTAATGAAGAGTTGCTCTCATATCTGGTTTATGGCAAACACTTCGATGTCTTGGATCTTAAGCTTAGGTTTTATATTATCTCACAATTAGAGCAATATATCTGCCATACATTCTTCAAGAACCACCAAATACTGCCTTTTGGATCGTCCATCGCTGGTATGTCTCAATATCTGTCATACCTGTCATCACGACCCTTACCATGTGTTTGATTTGTATCTTAAAGGTCTGGGAACTCCTAACAGTGACTTAGACTTAGTACTGGTTCCCAATAAGTTATCCGAAGACCAGTTGTCCAGAGAGGGTGATCGACAGCGGTTGACAACAAACCTCAATCTAATCGCAGATCTATTGCAACATTCAGTCCCATATTATTCCCATTTCTCGCGTATACTAAAGGCTCGGATTCCGATCATTAAGTTTGGCTTTGAATTGGCGCCCATTGACATCGACCTCTCCATCGAGATATCACCACATTCTGTCCACTCCGGGGTCTATATGTCTGCATATCTGAATCATTGTATTCTTCTGCATCCATGTGTCAGAGATTTGATACTTTTGTTAAGAGTTTGGGCCAAACAGCACAGTATGTCCTCAATGTTTAGCCACTTTTGATTGAACTAAAAAATCTTATTTATTTTGCAGAGCTATTAAAACCGAAGAACTGGTCCACACATATAGTATACAACGGGTTCACATCGTTTCAATTGACAGCTTTAGTCATATACTTCCTTCAGAAGCAAGAGATTGTGCCACCGATGAGACAATTCCTAAGCCATACATCTGATCGCTTCATCCTAAGCCGTCGAGACGTGTCGACTCTGGAACTATTGTCCGAATTCTTGGAGTTTGTGCTGTCGTTGAGGTGTGAATGGGAGGCCATCTCTATACTGGACGGCACGACGTTCCCGAACCCCGAGCCCCACCTTCCCATTTGGATGCAAAACCCTTTCCAAACTGAGCTCAATATGTGTCGAAACATAACTCCCGTTAAATTCGATAAGTTCTTAGAAATCACTCATTTGTCGTCAGAAATCATGAAAACCAAAGCATTTAATTTAGTCGACATTTTTGACAAAGACTTGCACATGAATTCGTACGCAAACGGATCCAAGACTTCGAGAATTGATGTCGAAAATCTGTTTATAGATTAATGTCATTCTTTGTATAAATTAATTATATTATATTTTTATGTAATTAAAAGTTTTGATACATTAGTTTTCGAGTCATTTATAAAGNATCCAAGACTTCGAGAATTGATGTCGAAAATCTGTTTATAGATTAATGTCATTCTTTGTATAAATTAATTATATTATATTTTTATGTAATTAAAAGTTTTGATACATTAGTTTTCGAGTCATTTATAAAGTTATTGTATTTAAGCAAAAATTATATTAAAGTAAATTATGTGAAACGTTTGAAATAGAGACTAAATTTGAATAAAATTTCATAATTCATGCATTTTAGGCGTTTGAATGTTTCATTTATTGTGGGAAAATAGTGGGAATTAGAGGAATTTGTAATAACGAGCAATAGGTCATGAATATTGCGGCAATATTTCGTAGTCAAGAATTACGTGTCGATCAAAGTTTGCACAGAATTTGTTGCGAAAGTATTTGTTGTCAACAAATCGTTGTTTACTTTGCATTGACAGCAGTTTTGGTGAGAAAAATGCATTGATTCGTGACATTAAGCGATCATTTGAATTGTGTTTTGAGACAAAATGAATGCAAACTTTGATTTTGTCATCAAAACCAATGAGACATACATTCAACCCAACGAACAGTTCAACAGTTTTATGATTAGCTCGAAGACCATCGCCGAAGACATGGTCTGCGAGCCATCCAATGGTGACAATGAGGTGAAGACATCGGCGCTGCCGAAGCCGACCGAGAAGTTTGTGGACTTCATTGTCAAGCAATACAAAGACGATGGCTTTGTCTGCACTCTGGATGAGAATGAGAGACAAATCTATTACTGCTATTACTGTCACCAATACATCCATGACTTCGACCTCATCCCCACTCACATTGATAGCGCACAGCACCTGAAGGTCTGTCACTAACTGTCACTGTAATAGGTCTCTGACTTGTGTTTGTATTGTTGTCCAGAATATATTGAATGGCATTTCATTCACTCGAGGATTGGATAAAGAGTTTGTTATGGAGTCCACCACTGATGAGAAGCCTACGAATTGTAATGAAAATGAATATTTATTTTATGAATATTTTGTTGAATGAATTGATTGTCTATTTTGCGATCAACTAGTGTTCAAACTGTTGGACAAAGTGTTGACACGAATGCCTCTGCATCTGAAGCACTATTACTTCCGCAACGGTATCCGAGTTATGAATGTGAAGACGCCGAGTGGTTACTTCTGCACAGTTAGTCACAAATGTCTGCATTTAATAGATTTGTCGCTAATTTTATTGTTTTGTTAATTGAATCAGTTTTGCAATCAACCCATCGCTGACTACAGAGGGATTGAGCCTCATTTGGCACTAGAGAGCCATGGATTGAGTCAACAAAAGCCAACTTTAATGCAATTAATAGATAAGTCAGACGAAGATTTGTTGCGAATCGGTCTCCAATTCATTAGCGAAGACATTATATCGGACACGTGTGTAGTCTATGAGTGCGAACTCTGCAATTGCTTTGATTGCGATAACGAGAAAATGTTTTCACACATCAAGAGCTTTAAGCACCGCAAGAATATTCTTGTAATTAATCTCGAAGTGTAGTTAATGTGACAATTAATTGTTTAAAATTTGTATTTTACAGAAAGAATACAATTACGATATAATCGACTTATCGGAGATTGATATGGAGACCAGTCTTAGGGATATTCAAGAGAAACATGGAATCAGTTGTATTAAGACATGTAATAGATATACGCGGCTTAAAGAATATCCAGAACCAGTACCCGAACCCACTCCTATACCTGACCCTAACCCTGAACCTAAGCCTAGTCCTACACCGCAGATACCATTGGTTGATATTAAGGATAATGATAACGATGTGTCGGAATCTCCGAAAGACAACGCTTTCATCAGAGAAGACATTCTTTTGCCGAACTTCGAGAGTCATAAAATCATCAAAACTTACGAAAGCGACGGCAAAGACATTTATTATTGTTGTTATTGTGATCTCTACTACCATTCATTCAAAGATATCAAACATCACATCAGATTCGATGCCATCCATACAAAAGTATAGTTTATTTGAATTTATTAAATGTTTGTATAATTGATGTGAAATTCTGTGATCTATTTGTTTCAGCTGACAATTCAGGGAAAGAATTGTTCGCAGGGTTTGAATGAAAAGTTTTTGATGAGAGGTCTACCAGAAGGCGAGAACAGATGTAATAAAATTTATTTCGTTTACAATATATTCTTCAAATGTTATACAGTATTAATGCTTTGATATTTGAAAATTGTTTTTTAGTTCACGAAATTGAGATATTAAATGCCATTCCACTTGTGATAAAACATTATTATTTCAAACGCGGCATTAAATATACCGGCAATAATGGCTACTATTGTAGAGTATGTCTTATACTCATTGTGTTGTTAAGAATTTGTTTTAAAACAATGTTTTAATAGTTTTGTCAGAAAACAATCAATTCCTTTGAAACCATTGACGAGCACCTGAAATGTGAATCTCATAATCGTATTGATGAGAAGCCCACAAAATTTAATGATCTTTTATTCCAAACAAATCAACCGATTATTGGACTGAAATATATTACAGAAAATTTGTGTCAAACCACAAAACAAATTCTCTACGAATGCACTCTTTGTGAATATTTTAATGATTTTTGTCAAATGTATGTCCATATAAGCGGGTTTATACATCAGTATAGAGTTCTGGTAATTATTAACATGAATGGGATGTAGAGGTCGGCCACAGAGTCTCTCTCTCTCTCTCTCTCTCTCTCTCTCTCTCTCTTTCTCTCTCTCTTGATATCTGTCCGATCACATCCCTGTCCACATTCAGTACAATGTTTTAATAGTTATTATGATTGCTTTAATAGAAGAAAATATCGCCAAATAATGATGTATTGAATACGATCGCCGAGAAGGACGCGTCGCTGCAGACGTCAGATGTGTTGAAACAGCAGATCTCAAGAATCGAGAGTAGGATTGGTTGCGGTTTCGTTAAAAGGAACCCTTTTTTCGACCAACAAATCACTGACAAAATAACTCAAATTCAAACGACAAACGACGCGAGACGTCGGCATAAACTGAAACTATTGAGGGCTCAGAACAATGACAGCGATGACTGTGATATGCCTGAAGAACAACTGTTGTCTCAATTCAATGAGTTGTTTGCTGTGAAATTGTGCGATGAAAACGAGGTGCCAGTCCTCGTCTCAATCATTGAATCACTCAAAGATAGTTTAATCGCTTATTATAAGCCACAGAATGACATCAATTGCCCCACAGATACGAGTTTATAGCACTTTAATCATCAAAATTCATAATTTAATTATATTTTTACAACAAAATGTACTAAAAATCTTTGATTTTAATTTTATGTATATATATTATAACTGCAACGATAATTATAATAATAATTAAGTTGTATAAAAATCAATGGCAAAAATGATTTATGAGTTAATTGAGAGGCACTCGATTCACGCAATAGTATGAAAAGCAGAGTTTATGTGAGTTTCCAACTCTTCAAATGTGTCGATATAGAGCTCACACTTCTGTTCAACAAATAATGCATTGTTTTAGTAAATTTTTATTGGTTTTAATTTGTATTACGGTATGAATATGTGATTGAATTGAATGCAAACCTGACAGTAGAAGGCTTGGGAACCGGAGCCGTCCTTTAAGCGAATGCCTTCAGTGGTTAAGTGTGTCTTAGCGGCCGATGACATGGTTTTCAAGTAATGTCTTCTGGCAAATGCCACTTCAAACTCATCTGTTTGATGAAAATGACAAATAAATACACAGTATTTTGGCAAATAATGAGTCAATACTCACCGATTCTCTCCGATTCTATAGTGAATTTCGAGTCCATTTCATTCAGATTTAGTCCAGTTTTGAACTTTTAAAAAATATTAATTAATCGTACGATCGATGTATTTGAAAGTATAATATATTTACTCTCTTATGTCGAGTATCACTGGTGTGGAGAACAGCCGTCTTCTTGCAGTCGAAGTATATGTTACAGAAAAGACAGTAAAATTTGGAGTCGACGCCAGAATCGGTCGCTTTTATGCCTTCATTCTTGAGCTTCAGATCTAATTTGCTGAGCGTTTGGCCCAAAGGCGGAGATTTCGGTACATAGAGTGCGACAGAATTGTCCACTGCTTTCAACTCGGGTTTGTTTTCCGTGTTTTCGATATCGGCGGCCAAACTCTCGATGTGATCCTTCACCTCATGTATGGATTTGAACTTCAGGTCACAAGTCTGTCGAGAATTTCAACAAAACATGTTTAGAGATAATTTTATATTACGGAAAAACTATCACTAAAACTGATAATTACAGAACAAATATAAGCGTCGGTCCCGAAGCCATCCTTAAGTCTGATTCCGTGCGACACATACTGCTGTTTATCAGTTAAACTGATTTTCTTGAGCTCTCGTCGCCGAGCGATGGCTACCTCACAGTCACCTATCAATCGGATTAATCTTACGGTATATTTCACGTCATTTCAGAAATAATATTTAATGCCAACCAATATTTGGTGAATCAATGGTGAACTGGGCGTCCAGTCCTTTCAAGTCATCACCGAATTTAATCTATAATTCAATACAAAATAGTGTCAAATATATGTATACTTTAAGAGCCATTTTGGGCTAACCTTCGAGTGTTCATCACTAGTGCTGTGCTTCAAAGCACAGGCGAAACCATTGAAAGAGATGTCACAGACTTTACACTTGAATTTAAAGCTGTTCTTTGACTTAATCTGTTGAATGCCCTCTACTTTGAGCGATACGACACTCATATCGTTGGATCCACTGGTGACGACGTCATCCGCAGAAGCCTTTCCTTTCTTTTTGCGCTTCTTCTTCGCCACAACCGATGAGTCGCTGTGACTGTTGTCCACAGATGTGCTCGCATTGCGTCCACTGAGCGACTGATCCCTACCGCCGACACCACGAGAATGAGAAATATTATAGCGGTCTAAGACATCCTCAAATGAGCGCATATCGCGACACCTAATCATTTGATCCAATTCTGTGATCGTTTCGCTGATGGGAATCAGTCCGTTGTCTGTCGTCACATATCTCTTGTCTATATTACCAATACTTTTGACAAAAAGCGTAAAATTAGTCAACTTTGGGTCGAGTTTGGTCTTCGGCTCAATCGGTTGGCACTCCGGACTGGATGTGCTGTCTGTGAGCGGTCCCTGTGCTGTGTTGGCCACCAATACTTGGATGTCGTCGTCGTCGTCGGTGTCCTCATCCGTGCCATCTGTGTCCTCCACAGTGAAGACACGTCTGAAGTGAGACAATCTCACCATTTGGTTAGTCGTATCAAACTTGGATCGCATTTACGCCAATTGGACACAAGTCTCGATGGTTTCAGATAATTGCAAGAGTGGATCAAAGTGTGACCACGAGATTCACGTCAAGTGACAGTGAGTTGGTGTTTGTCGATCACCGATGGATGTGATTGTGTTGTCGTTTCAATTGATTGAAATCATAAAATCCTTTAAATAGTGACTAAAACTGTATAAACAAAACACCAAAACAATAGCCAAATGTTGCCATAAATGCCTACAAATAACGTGTGATTCTCGCAGTCTGTGCGCCCTATCACTGCATTACTCAGCCTTTGATGACCATCTGATTATCAAATTAAATGTTTAGATATTCTGTACAATAATTATAATAATTATTCTGTTTATAAGAATAAGTTTTAGAGTACACCTAAAGTGGATATTATTGGCAAACATATAGTGAAACACTAAGTAAGGATTCCTTATATATTTGTTTTTTTATTGTTATTCAAACTGAGTTCATCTTACAGGTAGCCTTTAATAAAGTATCAAGTTTATAAGTTCTAATTATCAGGTGATCTATGTATATTTTCAAATCTTAGTGCTACTGTATAAATACAGTATTATGAGTAAATTTGAAATTTATAAATATTATGATAATTACTGTCAGTTATGTTTGTTTAACTTAAACTTATTTATAAACTTTATATAAAGTCTTGAAACTATTATACTTTGAATATGACATTAATTATCAGATATTAATATTAATGAGGTCTCAATTGCATTATACTGAATACTATATTAGTTATACTGTACTATGTATTTCCCAACTTACAGTATGACAGTATTACAGTATTATTGTATTATTTTATTGTAAAAGTATATTCGGAATATTCCGTGAATTATACTTACTGTACATTAGATTTTTTTTATTATAATGAGTGCAATTAAAATCTTACTTGTTAGTGCATTTAATTGTGATCTACAAATTAGCTTCAAACAAATTCATATATAAAATATTTATTTTAAATTCTTCAATAGTTTTGTTTAAATCTTACTTTATATAAATTTTATGTTTTGTGTAGATATGTATTTCTGACATTGAACTAAATAATATATTAAAAATATTTTTAATAAATTTAATAAAAATATCAATTCTTATAGAATTGTAATTCCTAAGCTATGCTTATTTAAGTTATAAATCATAAGAATTGCCTGTTATTGTGAGTGAAACTAATAAATCATTTGAAAATAATGTTAACCAGACTAAGCAGTTATACGAAAGCCTATTACAAGCTAAAGTCAAATTTAAAGAAAAACATAACAATTGAATCGTTGAATAAGTTTGAGAGATATTTTCAAAGCCCTTCAATAGCCGTCCTATCGTTTAATTTTGAAGAATACGCCAAAAACAAAGACATCGATTGTGTGATCCGAAAGCGACAGATAGTGGGGATCGGGGTCTGTATATTCGGGTGGCTAACTGTCCTCAAGTTCTTTGTGGCCGCGTTTGTCAGATCATCGACTCTATGGCCACTAATCGGCGACCCTTTCTATTTGACGGGCGATAGGATTCTCTTCAATCTTGTGATCGCATCGATCGCTTTGAACGCCAGCGCTATGAGGACTGCATTTCTTATAGGTTTGGGTTTTAGAGTTGTTTTAAATTTAAAACTTAATAAATATTTATAACAATAGCTGAGAGGAATAGGAGGTTATCATTCATTCATGAATTGTTTTATCTGCAAACCGGTGGACACCATCTCATATTGAGAGATAATTTACAAAAACTAAACATTCGGTGCATTATTTCCTATCAAATGATGTTAAAACAGATCCCCTTAAATGCATTGATCACATTCTCATTGATTTATGGCTATTACTCAGTCTGTGCGGTTCTCAGACAGGATTATAACTATACCATCTCTGTATCCATCATATGGTTTGTGTGGACATCCCTGGCCGCATGGGTGGCCGCATCCATGCAAGGGGTCAGCTATAGTCTACTTTATTTAACTCAGTATTACTTAACTCTACGGTTCAGACAAGTGGGCAAAAGGATCGTGTATTCATTGTCTAAGAATAAATACATTTTAATGAATTTATTGCGAGAACACAATTCAATTGTGAAACTGACTGATGAATACAATAAATTCTTTAACCATATCATTGCCATCAACTACTTCGCCGCCACAGTTGCCATTAATTTCCTGTTATATATCACATTCTTCGGCAACGGGAATGTCTTATTCCGAATCGGCAATGGACTCATCGCTGTCAACAAGACATTCATCATATGTTTGGCCACATATTCTTCGGCACACTTTTCAGAAGAAGTGATTATGTTTTATTAGGCTATTAATGTCCTTACTAATAGTTATGGTTATTACAGGTACACAGACTGTATGTCCCAATTAATAGTATTTTCATTACATTAAAATCAAGTATCGGAGCTAAATTTAAAGTAATTACTTTAGAAATACTTATACAATCACTAATATTTAATGTTGCTTTTAATATTATAGTTAATACAAGTAATTGAACGCCTGTCCGGTCCCACCATAGGCTTCTACTGTTTTGACATATTTGCCTTTAATTTACAACAATTTGTTAAAGTACAGTAATTAGCATTCAAATTAAATGTATTTATATTTGTTAATTGTATTGATTTTATACAGTATATGAGTGGTTGTATTACATTCTTCTTTCTATTGGTTGGTGTCATCACTAATTACCTGAATTACTAATCATTGTAAGGTCTGTCTTCATATCACAATATACTGTAATAGTGAACTGGAATTGTACTGTACTTTTGTTAAGAGCAAGTAATACTCATAAATATTTTTATAGTAATTTATGAATACTTTATATTTTATGAATAATTGTTTGCAATTGTAATTAAAACGAGAGAGAGAGAGAGAGAGAGAGAGATTAAAATAAATTCTTTATTGTTAGACTCATTAATATTAAAATAATAGTGGCATTGTAAATAACTGGCAGTTAGTTTACTGTATTATAAATAGACTAAATTTAAACGGACTGTGAATTGTGTACTACTTTTATAATTTTGTTATTATTCTGTCAAAGTTATTTTATATAAATGTTTGCATTGAAATAATCCAAAAGGTATCCAAAAAAACAAATAAAATTCAATATAAATCCGAATAATATGTTTGTGTATTGTTTGCTGAAATATTGATACTTTTTTCACTGATATAACTCTTGCTTCGACTTAAGGTTTTGTTATCATTGCTTCGTTTAACGGGTTTTGAATATTCAGACACTTTTAGAGAGAATTTCAAATTCTCTGCCAAATCAGCCCAAAAAGTACTCTGAAATTAAATGACATTTTGTAATGAATTCTAAACTTTGTTATAACTGTAAGAATCCTAATCGATACCATATTTAATGTTTCTTTTAATGTTTTGGTGATGAGTTCATAAAAAGCCAAAAACGTGGCGAAAATGGAGCCAACGATGAGTATAATGAATACTCCGCCGACATTCTTCAGTCCCATCTCTTGCAGGGAAGCGCTGGGTTTGCTAAGACAGGCGCCTCCACCAGACTTCTGGGACCACCACCTGATCTTCAATTCACGCAATACTCCCGTCTCTTGTAGTTTCACAATTGCTTCTGACAGAGGGGTCCGATATAATGAGCCTAATGTCACGTATGGTTTACTAAATAATTCGTAATTAAATGAATTCTCGATTCGCAACCTTTTCTGGTGGCGATTCCGTAGCCTTTATTGTCGAGCAGTCCTCCCACTTGTGTTAGATTACAATACCTTTCGGTTATGTATTCAATAACAGCCGACTCCATAAAGAAGGCATACTTTCCTTCGCTCTCTTCCACGGTATCCCTCCCTAAAGAGTTGCTTGACTTAAACACTTCCTTATTTGCGTCCATAAAGTCAGCCATCTTTTTATACGTCGGGATGTTTGAGCTCTAAGTTTCGCCAATCATTCAAATGAAGTATTATCTCAACCATAGCTATCATACCATACACTATTCATCAATACCTTAAAGAATCGATGTGTGGCTGCGTTTTCGACACAACCGTATTTGATAGTTGTTTGGGCGGCCAATGACTTGGCGCTGTCGAAGGGAAAGGGGGCGTCTTCTACGGTGAGAAAAGCGGCCAAATTAGCCGTATATGAAGACACTATGATTAGCGTAAAGAAAGCCCAAACCCCTCCAATCACTCGTGTGGACAGCGCTCTGTAACACAAATATTTGTATAAAACTCACAATACTTTGGTTTAAGCAAGTATTCGAGACATACCTGGGTGCAATGTCTGAGCCCTGTTGCATAATGCCTCCGATGGCAAACCAGAAACTATTGGACATGTAATACATATTCTCGAGCACCTGATTCTCTGTACGACAGGGTCTGGTGTCCTGCCATTCATATGGCGAGAAGCGGCCGACAAGCGGCTGAATAATGCCCACAAGTGTGAGAATACCAAACATATAGAGCCATAGTTTGGTGGAAAATGGGAGCATAAAAGACCACAACGACAGCGTTTTTGTCGGCTTCTTGTATAGGATTGTAATACCAGTCGACATAAAAGGATACGTGAAATCTATGGCCCGCTCGCGGTTAGAGTTGATGGTCAGGTCGGCCACAGCTATATCGGCCTCTCCTCTCATCACTTCGCCTACCATTCCATTCCATTGGCCGGTCTTCGTGTCCTGACCGCCCCATTGGCCGTCTTTGACCGGATGTATGACATATCGAAAGTTAAGCTCTTTTGCCAACTCGTCCACTAAATCGATGACATATCCCTCGTATCTGTCATTGCCTTTCAGTTCATACGACGACTTCTTTCGCATAAAGAATGGGTCGTTAAATACAGACGTGATTCGGATCAACGGGTTTTCGAGGAAATGAGGCAAATAGTGTTTCGTCCACTTCTCGTATTTCTCCACTTTTCCAGAAATCCATTTCCCACTCTTTAATGCAAATAATTTAACTTTAATATAATGTTTGTGTAAGTATTTTGACGATCACTCACAACATCGACTCCATCTTCGGTTATACTTAATATCTCAAGACTTATATCCGAACGAAAGCCCGAGTCATCAAACTTTATTAGACCAGTCATGCCATAGAAAATATGCTTTTGAATAGAATATGAGAAAATAAGTTTTCATTATTTGAATAATTTATTTCTTGTTTATAGAGATTTGTCTTTGAATAAAAAACCATATAACTAATATAACTATAGTTATATAATATAAATATAACACATAGTATTATGTGTTTTTATTATATGTTGTGAACAACAGAAATTAATTCTTATTGAATTATATCAAACCCGTCTCATATAATTAAGAAGTGTTGTCCCGTGAGGCCAGGGATGTTCATCTGTGCAAGAGATCGGACCGACTCTCAATTGATTGCCATCCAAATCATTCAATGCTTTTGCTAATAATACAATCCCATCATAAATTAATGCAGATTCTGTCTATAAGAAAATGATAACTATAAGTCATTTATTGGCAAACTCTTTATAATAATATAAACCAGAATATATTTGGGAACATTTAATAGGTCTCTTTTGGTCACATCTGTCGAGACTATATGCCATTCATCGATAAACTGTTTGACATCAGTATTGTTTGGATCAACGAATCTAAACGTCGAGAACTCAGCCCTAGTGAACAGGAATTTGCGTAAATCCAGAGAATGGAAATCCTAAACAAATTCAAGATATAGATTAAGATTGTTGTCTTTATGACTTAATGTTTAACAAAACAGTTTTAAAAATTTAATCTGTAATTTAAGACAAAGAGCTTAGAAATAGTTTTCGAGAAAATAGTGGCATATTTTGGATTAAAATAACTAAAAAGTGTACAAATATTTAGTGGTAAAATGTGTAGAAAAGTAGAAAACAACTCAACGAACAAACTATTAATCTTTTCCGACGAAAGAATTGTTATGAAAACTATTTTTATGTCTAAAAACGTTTAAACAAAAGGAGGGCTAAAAAGTTTTGTTTCAATAGTTTTATTTTACATAAACCATACCAAACAGCATATAAGACACTAAACTATTTTGCGCTTTAATTTTAGGCACAAAAGCGATTTAACAAAGAGTTATAGTCAGAGAAAACAAAAGTAAGAAATAAGTAGTTAATACTTATAGGACTGCTTTAAGGAATTGAGAATCGGAGCCAAAATTCATACAATACTCACTGAATTCATGACAAAATAGTGATGATTCTCGGTTAAGGCTCCCACTTGTAGTGCCTGGATATGGGTTTCAATATTAGTTAAAATTTTTAATGAATTGTATGCACAGTACCTGTCGAAGGACTTCAAGAATATTCTCTTGTCTTACATGAAGAATAACATTAAAGCAATCTTTTTCTTTAACTTTTCGAAGTATATCACGATATGGTATATCAGGAGTTAATTGAAAGACTTTTAAATCCCAGTTCTCTATAGAAGACTCTTCTAATATTCGCTTTAAATGAATTATTGCTAAATAAAATCATTTTTATTAAAAATGCAATCATTTAATATGAACAATCATATATTTGCACCGGAATTGTCTTCGTATACGACAGCAAATGTCTTCCAACGCCAATCTTTAATCAAATCAATCACAGCATCGGTTATAAGGGATGGTCGGGGATATAGATTTATGGAAAGGTCGGCCCGATATGACTCGAAGTCGTGTCTCGTCTCAATGTGTGGTATTTCAAAGGTCTCGCAAATGGACTGTACGTGCATTGAGACAATGCTGTCGTGCGGACCCAATACGGCCACAACACCATTGCGCAAAAGTCCGCAAACTATTTAACAATTAGATTGTTATTTAGTTTTAGCCCTGATAAATAGTTATAAACCTCTCTCCTGAGACAGAAAGCTATCGGCGCCCTCAACACTGGCCACGTGTGCTATTAGTGTGGTTTGCGGTAAAATATTAGGATCTTTATTGATGCGATCGATTGCATAGCGGAATGTATGCTCCTGTTCCTCCTGTTCAGCATTGAATAGAGCCCCTGGTGTTCAACCAAATCACGATTTTTCAAATAGAAAACCAATTTTTACTATTTATTTAGATTTTAAATTTGTTAAATTTTCAAATCATTAAAACGTTTCACTCCATTAATATCTGACATTTTTGCAAATAGGTGTCAAAAAGTTATATATAACTTTATAACAAATATGACCTTCAAATTGAGAATAAAATAAAATACAAAACTAACTTGAACAATATTTAAACAGTAGATACTCAGTGAAGTAATATAAATTATTTAAAAATTATCTTTTGTCTAAATATTGAATTTTTGATAATTTTTAATGCAATTTGAGTGCACTCAAAATTCAAGAATTTTAAAATCTACTATATATTACAAACATAACCGTAATATGAAAACAATGAAAAACAAAATAAAGTGAAATACTCACCAATTCGTATAAAGTTTGGAAGATTTTCAACGCTTAAAGATTTGACTAATATTAAGATTAAAATCAAAGGTAAACGTTGAGACATTATTGTATCCCCATTAAACTTATTAGATTAGATATTATATGAAAAATTACAGAATTTTGCAAACATTACATTTAATTTTAATATAACTTAAAATAAATAGAGGAAATATTTGGCCACAAAGTGCTCTCTGTTATGTCTCTCAATAATAATATAAATGTAGTTAAAAATCTTAAAACTTTTTTTCAAATAATAATAAAACAGCGCTTAAACTAATAATAGTATAGTTTTACTCATTAGCGAAGGGAAGAAAGCAATGAATCAGTAGTGATGTGTGTCTGTGGAGCACATTCTCTGGTGATCTGCAAGTCTTACAGTGCATTGAGTCTGCCTTAGACTCGCATAATAAATAGAAAGTCAAACATATCTCAATAAAACTGATTCTTCCCTCTGGTTTACATTTGTTTATATTCTGTTTGTAATTTAATTTAATATGAATAAGTTTACAAATTGAAATAATTTATATTTTAAATAATTTTTATTTAATTTTTACTATATTCTACATTTTAATGCTTAAATTATTTAATACTTGTGTACTTACAGAATATTGTAGAATAAATAGCTTTGATGAATATTTTGATTAGAATATTCTAAGTCTCTAGTGTTACATTAATTATGACTAATATACTGTACTTTATAAATAGTGTATCATTTAATGATAAAACTAAAAATAAACTTATCGTCAAACTTGAGTTTAAAAGTTTAATAATATCCAGAATATTGTGTCTCAAGTCGTGGTGAGGAACCAGTTTTGCTATCATTGAAACTTCGGCTGCCATTCAAACTCTTCTCGCTCTTACTCTTACTTCTCGTCGGTTTACTCGACGTCTGACACATCATTGCAAACTTAAAGTCCTCTAATAGTACGCCCACAATATTCTCCTTAAATTAGTGATCAAAGTAATAGTTAAGAAAAATGGCAAACAGTAAACAAAATATTGAATACATCTTTAGACTCTTTCCTAATCTTATACAAGAATTCACAGAAAGCCATCAAAAGTGCGACAATAGATCCGCCGAGAAGTACGAGGAAAACTCCGCCCAAATTCTTGAGCCCCAACTCTGCCAGAGAACTCGACGACTTGGCGATACACTGTCCGCCGCCCTTCTGCTTCCACCACCGCTCCTTCAACTGATGAAGTATGCCGTCCTCTTGTAGTTTGAGGATAGCTTGCGATAAGGGATTCCTTAGGGGTGACCCTAACATACAGCACAATGGTATCATTAATTTATATTAAAGTTAAGATTTTTTTATAAAATAATTAACTAATAATTAATTGATACCTTTTTTAGTAGCGATAGCGTAACCCTTATTGTCGAGCAGACCTCCCACTTGAGTCAAATTGCAGTACCTTTCAACGATATACTCAATGGGCGCCGCCTCCATAAAATATGCGTACTTCCCGTCGGCTTTCTCCACGTAATCCCTTCCCGCACGACCGCCCATAAAGACATCCCATTTACCCATATTCGCAGAGATCTTCTGATACGTCCCAATATTGGAGTTCTTCAGAGAAAATATCAATAGATTTGTTAACAAATCACACGATATAATAGTGATAATACAGTATAGTTTGGTTACATTAAAGAACCGATGAGTGGCCCCATTCTTAGTGCACCCGTACTTAATCTTGGACTGAGCGGCCAATTGCTCCACATTTTCAAAGGGATAGGGTATGACTTCGACCGTCAAAAATGCGGCTAAGTTTGCAGTGTATGACGAGATGATGATGAGTGTGAAGAAGTACCAAATGGCAATTATCACTCGCGTTGACATTGCTCTAGAAATTCATCAATCATAAGTCAATTCATTTCAATCATAAGTCAATTCATTGATTAACAACTGTATTCAGAAATTATTTGTGTCCTTAAGAGTCTGCATACTTGGGTGCGATGTCAGACCCCTGTTGCATAAGTGATCCAATAGTACACCAGAAGCTGTTGCGAATATTGAGCACATTTTCGAGCACTTTGTCGTCCTGACGGCACGGGTGAGGGTTATCCCACTCGTATGGTGTGAACCTTCCGGTCAGAAACAGGAGAATACTGACCCCGACGAATGTGCCAAACATATAGATCCACACAATGGGTGAGAATGGAGACAAGAATGACCACAAAGAGGTCTCTTTGGTGACCGGCTTTTTGAACAGAATTGAGATTCCCGTTGACATAAAGGGAAGCGTGAAGTCGACTACACTTTCTCTCTCGGAATTGACCGCCAAATCGGCGATAGCTATGTCTGCGATACCATTCATCACTTCGCCGACCATACCGTTCCACTCACCTGTAACTGGATTACCGCTACCATAGTTGCCATCACCTACCAGTTTAATCTCAATCTTGAAATTTAAGAGTTTTGCCAATTCTTGCACTAAATCGACAACATATCCCTCGTATCGATCGTTGCCTTTGAGCTCTTGTTTTGTTTTGGTAGACATAGTGAACGGATCCTGCAATACAGTGGACACTCGAATCACCGGCAGATCCAACACAGACTTAGCATGGTGTTTGCTCCATAAACTAGTTTTTTCTACTCTGCCAAACGCCCACTTCCCTGTCTATAAGGACACACATATTACTTATTACTACTCTATTAAATTGAACATTAATTACAATATCATATCCTTCTGGGGTTATACTGATTATGTCGAAAGTGAAGGCTGTCCTCAGACCCGAGTCATCGAATTTGATGACTCGTGTAATGCCTTCTGTTTGCACCTGAAATAGTCAAACACTATAATAGTTATACAATACTTTCCAACCGATTGTGTAAATGTGTTGAATAAACATCTTAAATATAGTAATGAATGAATGTATTTATTATATTTGGACAGACCTGTCTCATATAATTCATTAGAGAGCTTCCTTGAAGCCATGGATCTTCTCCCTCACAACTGATAGGCTGGACATCAAATGTGTACAACTCTTTCAGTGCAATCACGAGTACTTTAACGGCATCGTAGATGAGAACCGAATCAGTCTTTGAATAAGCAATTCATATAAAATTATTGAAATAATTAACGAAAACTCAAAACTACAAATACATTGAAAAATTCAGGAGCCCTCAAGAAATGTCTTTTCCCGAAACGGGAGGCATAGATATGCCACTCCTCCTCTAGATTTCTGAACTCCAGTGTGTTTTCATCGATAATTCTTAGGGCTGTTATGTTAGTCCGACTGTGTCTAAAGTCCTCCAAATCCAGTGTTAGTAAATCCTTTGAAACAAAATTATTAAATTATCGGTAATTTATAAGAGAATGTGTAAACTTGTAGAAACTAATATTACCATTGATGTTATCAAATAATTGTGTTCCTCTGTAATAAGTCCCACTTGTTGTGCCTTAAAGCATACAAAACAATAGACAAATTATTATTATCTTGGTATTTATTAATCCCCAATTTAATAAGTACTTGATTTAAAACTTCAACTAATCTTTCTTTGCTAACGTCGAGAATTATATTTTTCTCATTCGTTTGCTTCACTCTCCAAAAGATATCACGATATGGGATGTCATCCATCAGTTGAAATGTCCTTATATTCCAGGTTTCGTTTAAAGACATATCAAAAAATTCTTTGAAATGCATTATACCTGACATTTGAAAGCATTTTCATTAATTTGAAATACTTTAATATTTTAATTCTCGAACTTTTCGTACCGTCATTGCTGTCGTAAATGATGGCAAATGATTCCCAGTCCCACAGCTTAATTAAATCCATGTATACCCGTGATAATAGAAATGGATGTGGGTAGAGATTTATGGAGAGGTCAGTGCGATGGGACCGGTAGTCCAGTCGTGTCTCGATGTGAGGAATTTCAAACGTCTCGCAAATGGACTGGACGTGCATTGAGGGTATGTCCGATTGCGGGCCAAATATAGCCACCACTCCATTCCGCAATAGGCCACACACTTTGCAGATAATTTAATTAATAAGCAATTAATTTTAATTACAAATAAATTTTAGTGAAAACTATACCTTTTTGTTGGGCGAGAAAGCTGTCGAAATTATCTACCCTTTCCACTTGGGCTACATTTTGGTTGAAAATAATAGTGATTGTCACATTCAAACAATTATGCTGATGATTTACTCATACCCACGAGTGTCACCTTTTGATGGAGTAGTAGTCCCTCGTTATTGAGCTGATCGACGGCTATCCGAAATGCGAGCTCCTGTTCCTCCTGATCGACAGTAAACAATCCGCCTATCAATACGAACAGACAGTTAATTCAATATGTTTTAACTCAAGTCATATTATTATTGTTTTTTCTATTTAAATAACTTTATTAAACACTTACCGACTCTTATAATACTTGGAATGCTTTCAACTTTTGAAGCAATTATAACACAAACAGCGATAAAACAAATAAGTATTTTATAACACATTTCCAAATGGTTTTTAATGCGAATTATTTTTAAACATTGATTTTAATTCATTTTTCAATATTTATTTTATTCAATACAAACTCTTAATTTTAAGAATTCAATCATATTTACACAAATATTTCGCTTAAAATTTTGAGTGAAAATATTATTAAAGTAATAGCCGAGTGCGCGATGAGTTTGTTTTGAAATCAATATAAAAGTTAATCTAATTATAGTACACATTAGAGTGAGATATACTGTATATAATGAGAGTGTTTAAGGGCTGAGAAAACATTGGAAAAGACTTCATAAAACACACACTTTTGGTGAATAAGTTTTTTAATGCATTTATTTATAACTTCTTCAAAGAACTGTTTTGCTCTAAATATACGAAATAAGTGTACATTTCTATACAGAATATGTCTCACACGGCATAACACATACTGTGAGTCAGTAAATGAGCTCCAATTCTATCGCAAGAATTCAGATCACAATCATTTGTGGCATACATTTTGGCAGTTTTCATTCAAATATACTTTCATTTTGTAGTGTTATTTTATACAAAAATTGTAAATTGTGTTCAAAAACACATTTGTTTGCATTGAATAAACAAATGAAATTTTATGTCTTAATCATAAATATGAAGATATTTATTGTAAATGATTTTGTAAATTTGCAATTTATAACTTTTCCAGAATATATATATTTATTTATTAAAATTATGAATCACATGATTGATAACTTTGCACAATAGTATATGGGTGTTTTTTAATTAGTTTCGTTGGAATTATTTTAAATTCTATAGAAAATGAATAGAAAAGGAAATCCCATTAAAAGTTGTTGCAGAAGGATATCATATCCTCAATATGTATATATAAAACAGATTATGTAATATTAATACATAAATATGTATTAATCGAAACACTAATCTTATTGTCAGTTTGAATAGTACGACAGAAAGGATTAAAATATGAAATATTTATACATTTTATTGTTGTGTATTTGTATAATAAGTTTGGCTACAAGTGAGTCAATTAAGTCTTAATGAAACAATTAATTGATTATTAAAGACAATATTTGTTTTGCATTGAACTGCAGGCCAGGGCTCCAGACGTGGACCTCGAGTGCCAAAAGAGTCTCGAGTGAGTCGGTGCCCGACTTTGAACCCCGGGATCAGATGCTTCCGACACTACGATCAGTGCCCGCGGGTTGGCCTCAGGTGTGGTCGAAGTCTTTCGCATTGCTGTCCCGGAGAGTGCGGTAATAAGTGTGTGAAATAGGCATTCAATTCAGTGTTTCATATACCAGTATAAGTATAAAATATACAGTATGTGACGGACAGTGAAATTAAAGTCTATGAGAGACCTAAACCGCTAAATTGTTTCTACATTATATGTAATCTTTATTTTGAAAAAATTATAAAGCATTGTATGAAATGTAATAAATTAAGTGAAATCAGTGTTCAAAGGATATTAAATATTTTGAAGGAAGCCTTAAATATCTCGCACGTCCTCTCGTGAAAGCTGGTGATTATCGACGATATGTTGGGCCGTAACACCATATATGACTCCTCCGGGCTGTACTTCGGCCACTGGAGGCTTAATTGTGGCAATACTTTGCTGCAGATAACAAAATATATTTTAATTTTCAATTAGTGAGTACTATTGGTACTTCATAACCTTGGCTATAATTGCAGTTATAAAACTTTATAGACTAGGGTCTAGTCACTAGACATTATATTACATTATATTAGGTAAAATGGTACTCAGGGACAGCTATTTTTAAGATTACAAAAAACCATAAGAAGTACTTTTAATGAACATTTTTATACATTCACTTTATATAGTCAAATATTTGTATATTTACCCATTTTTAGCAAAATGTGACCAAATCTTCATAACTCTTTTACTCATTTCTATGTCATCTTTACTGAAGTATTTTGTGCGTCTCAGAGGGTATCCAAAGACAAACGGCACCTCTTCGTAGTGANTTATATAGTCAAATATTTGTATATTTACCCATTTTTAGCAAAATGTGACCAAATCTTCATAACTCTTTTACTCATTTCTATGTCATCTTTACTGAAGTATTTTGTGCGTCTCAGAGGGTATCCAAAGACAAACGGCACCTCTTCGTAGTGACTGACCTACAAATTTATCGATAAATAATTAAATACATCAATTTTAGGATTAACTCACCCCTTGCCACTCCCCGAATTTGGTAGGCTTAGCCTTGTGATCAAACAAATACATGTAAACCGTCTTATTGCGGGCCACCATCTCATCGGCCATATAAATGGTGGGACAAGTGATGGAGTTATCGCCCATTGCTTTCGACAGTCTCACCATATTATTGAAAGGTGTGTCCATTTCGGGGCCCACAATCATCTGCCGATCGGTAACATTAAGTTATTGATGTAATGATAGGTAATTGATTGGTAATGTGTTACCGAGTTAGCAATGAGTGGTGCGATGTTTGGGGCCAGTCCTACTTTCTCTGTCAGATACCAGACAAACATATTTCTTGTGTCTTCTTGTGTTCGCATTAGTGGAAAGGTATGTCGTCTGAACACCTGAGGACTGGATGCATGCATGAGCCACGCGCCTTCATTGGGCACCACCCCTGCCAACAGCTCCTATTGAATCAGATGAACCATAAATATATATATATATATATAAGTCATACACTGCAAACTTAGCCGCATTTTTGACGGTCGAAGTCATACCCTATCCCTTTGAAAATGTGGAGCAATTGGCCGCTCAGTCCAAGATTAAGTACGGGTGCACTAAGAATGGGGCCACTCATAAGTTCTTTAATGTAACCAAACTATACTGTATTATCACTATTATATCGTGTGATTTGTGAACAAATCTATTGATATTTTCTCTGAAGAACTCCAATATTGGGACGTATCAGAAGATCGCTACGAATATGGGCAAATGGGATGTCTTTATGGGCGGTGGTAAGGGAAGGGATTACGTGGAGAAAGCCGACGGGAAGTACGCATATTTTATGGAGGCGGCGCCCATTGAGTATATCGTTGAAAGGTATTGCAATTTGACTCAAGTGGGAGGTCTGCTCGACAATAAGGGTTACGCTATCGCTACTAAAAAAGGTATCAATTAATTATTAGTTAATTATTTTATATAAAATATCTCAACTTGAATATAAATTAATGATACCATTGTACTGTATGTTAGGGTCACCCCTAAGGAATCCCTTATCGCAAGCTATCCTCAAACTACAAGAGGACGGCATACTTCACCAGTTGAAGGAGCGGTGGTGGAAGCAGAAGGGCGGCGGACAGTGTATCGCCAAGTCGTCGAGTTCTCTGGCAGAGTTGGGGCTCAAGAATTTGGGCGGAGTTTTCCTGGTACTTCTCGGCGGATCTATTGTCGCACTTTTGATGGCTTTCTGTGAATTCTTGTATAAGATTAGGAAAGAGTCTAAAGATGTATTCAATATTTTGTTTACTGTTTGCCATTTGTCTTAACTATTACTTTGATCACTAATTTAAGGAGAATATTATGGGCGTACTATTAGAGGACTTCAAGTTTGCAATGATGTGTCAGACGTCGAGTAAACCGACGAGAAGTAAGAGTAAGAGTGAGAAGAGTTTGAATGGCAGCCGAAGTTTCAATGATAGCAAAACTGGTTCCTCACCACGACTTGAGACACAATATTCTGGATATTATTAAACTTTTAAACTCAAGTTTGACGATAAGTTTATTTTTAGTTTTATCATTAAATGATACACTATTTATAAAGTACAGTATATTAGTCATAATTAATGTAACACTAGAGACTTAGAATATTCTAATCAAAATATTCATCAAAGCTATTTATTCTACAATATTCTGTAAGTACACAAGTATTAAATAATTTAAGCATTAAANATATTCATCAAAGCTATTTATTCTACAATATTCTGTAAGTACACAAGTATTAAATAATTTAAGCATTAAAATGTAGAATATAGTAAAAATTAAATAAAAATTATTTAAAATATAAATTATTTCAATTCGTAAACTTATTCATATCAAATTAAATTACAAACAGAATATAAACAAATGTAAACCAGAGGGAAGAATCAGTTTTATTGAGATATGTTTTGTTTAGAGTTGTCAAGAATTTATGACTTTCTATTTATTATGCGAGTCTAAGGCAGACTCAATGCACTGTAAGACTTGCAGATCACCAGAGAATGTGCTCCACAGACACACATCACTACTGATTCATTGCTTTCTTCCCTTCGCTAATGA